TGGTCATAAATCAAAGTATTGGGCAAATTAAAAAAATGCCCTTCTAGATAAAAAGTTATGGGAACACCAAAGTGATTACACATGAATGTCTGAATCAGATATTTCAGTCTGGACCAAAGTGATGGACCAACTGCCGCTGCCATCCTTGGAACCACGCAGGGCTTATTATTGCCAGTGTTGCCATCCTTACGCTTTAAAGGATAAATTAGTGGCTGCATCTCTACAAACGACCATGACTTTGCATTTCTAGCTTTTGTTGTTATGGCTGTAATGGCAGAGTATGTGTCATCAAATAGAGTTATACAGTAATACTGTGTAGCCCCACTTTCAAAAACCTGTTTTTAGTGCTGACTTGCTCATCTGCTGCAGAAAACTGTACTGATAATGTAATTGTCTCAACTTCAGCGCACTTCAGTCTTGCAGAAAAACAGCTCTGCCTTTAAGTAAAACGTGACAAACACATCTTGAAACGTTGGGCTAGCCTATTTATCACACAATCTTACAAACACACACACGCTCGCTGGCTTGCAACACCGACTCTCTTTCTTTTGCGTCTCTGCTCATCAGATTGATGCCCACGAGGACGACGTGAATGCGGTGGCGTTCGCCGACAGCTCGTCCCAGCTGCTCTTCTCTGGCAGCGACGATGCGCTGTGCAAGGTGTGGGACAGACGGACGCTGCGGGAGGACAGACCGCAGCCTGTCGGACAGCTGGCCGGCCACCGAGATGGCATCACCTTCATCCACAGCAAGGTGGGGGGGAGCGAGGAGAGGAATGTTGCTGGTATTTTAACAATCTGTCAATGCGAGGTTCCACAAATCCTTGTGGGTAGTTGCATTTGACGGACGACTGGTTGGAAGTTGATTAATTAAATGTCGTTATTAGCCCAGTATGTGTTATGTAGTCCGCTATATTGGTCTAACTCTGAGGTTTGTTTTCTGTACTTTTACATTTGGTCACCTGTGTCGTGACTGCGCCAGGGTGACGCACGCTACCTGATCAGCAACTCGAAGGACCAGTCCATCAAGCTCTGGGACGTCAGGAAGTTCTCTCCCAAAGAGGGGTTGGCAGCTTCCCGCCTGGCTGTCACCCAACAAAACTGGGATTACCGCTGGCAGCAGGTTCCCCAGAGAGGTGAGGAGGAACGGAGGTAACTGGGAGGATGAGAGAGGAGGGAAGGGAGAGTAGAGGAGGAGAGGTCACATGGAGGAAGAAAAGAGGAGGAGATAAAGATGGAATGACGTTATAAAAGAAGGGCGAGAGGGCCAGTGACAGAAAGGTGAAACGTGGGTGTAGAGGAGAGGTGAAGGATAATGAGATGGAGCAGGGACATAGGGGGGAGGGGGACACCTAAAAATAGAAAATAAAATAAAAATAGTTTACCCACTTTTTTCGAGAGCTTCCAGAGGTTTAAGATGTAAATGATTTCTGTATGTCTTAGTAAATTGTACCTTACCAATGTGAGGTTAATTAAGACTCTCTAAGGTCTCAAAAATATTGTTTGTATTTACCTTCTCAGCCTTAAAGAGACACAAGCTGACGGGCGACACATCAGTGATGACCTACCGTGGTCACGGCGTTCTGCACACCCTCATCCGCTGCCGTTTCTCTCCGGAGTTCAGCACCGGACAGAGGTTCATTTACTCTGGCTGCTCCACTGGCAAAATCATCAGTGAGTGTCACCGAGAGCCCGTGTGTGCGTCTGCAATGTGTAGTAGTGTCAGCGCCAATTAACCCGGCCTAACTGCGTGTTGTCATTTTTACATGGAAAATCAATGCACTTCTGCTGTGTGTGAGAGTGATTAAAGAGACCTAATCTGCTGTAAATGCCTACAAGCAGCTAAATAGGGTCTTTGTGTCTGTCCAGTCTATGACGTGCTGACGGGCGCCGTGGTCTCCAGACTGTCGGGTCATGACGCGTGTGTGAGGGACGTCAGTTGGCACCCATACGAGGACAACATCGTCAGCAGCTCTGTGAGTGCTGTTAATGCAAACTGTTCAACTGGAGTCTGTGTAAAAGCTTGTGATCATAAATATTGCAGTGAATCAAAAGAAAACTCTTCACATATTCGAATTGGTTTTGTATTGAGGGGAATTAAACCAGACCGTGTTTCCTCCAGTAATAGAATACCATGGAGTTAAAAGAAGTCAGATGATTTGATGTGTTTTCTGCTGATGACAGAGAATCAAATGGACTATATATAGAAATATATTTATAAATATATAAGTATTTTATGTCTTGTTTCTAATGTATATTGCATTACATTTGACTTTTTAGTGGTTTATCTCTTAGCTGGTGATAAAACAAGACTATTTACTCAAAGCTGAAAAATATGACATCCAAAATGATAGTTATCATCCTTACATTCAGTAGATGAAAGAACAAAAATGGCAACAAATATATGAGAGAATTTTGAGCCAGAAAGTTAGTGAGTTTCTACGCAGAGCAAAGTCACTGAAACTGGTGCAAAGACAGGAAGTTTAACCTTGGTGAAAGTGGCACTTGAATGCGAACAACCTGTTTTTCGACCTATTTTTAGTTTAAATATGTTATGGATTTCAGCTTTAATAAATCCAGTAGAAATAAGAATTTTAAGTAAATGGGACAGGAAACGTCCCAGGAAAATAGGGAACTTGAAATCAGAGCTACTAACGTTAAAATAAGACATTTTAGCTCTGACGCCTCTCCTCATCCTCCTTTTGTCTGTCCACAGTGGGACGGAGCGGTGCGAATGTGGGAGCACAGACAGACCCATCCTCTTGAGGAGGAGAGAGAGAGGGAGAGGGGCTCACAGCAGGAGAAAGACCATTGAGGCCGCGAGAGAGAGAAGAAGAGACAAAAGAGGAAAAAAAGATTTCAGAGGAAGTGACATCACCGCAGAAGGGGCGAGGCTGGCCTTACAGAAGAAGACCGTGAGCTGGACTGGGACTGGGAGAGACTTAAATATCTTTATAATTCAATGCTGGATATTAATGATTACAGTTATAGCGTGGTTGTGAAGTGTTCATTTGGAAGGCATTATAGTCTGACATTGGCGAGTGCACTCTGGGCGCAGCGGCACGGCCTACTTCTGTCCGTCTTTTGTTTTTGCCTCACTGTCTGCAAAATCAACAGGCCAGAGCTTTTGAATTTTGGCCTGAAACACTTCACTCAAATGTGCTGAAGCTCAAAACGCCAAGCACTGCACTTACTTAACGAGTCGTCGAAATTTAATGGTAAGTTAGTAACATAAAAATCAACGTTGGATATTGCAGGGAGAAAGTGAGGGTGATAATTCTGTATAAATGTATAGTATTTTAATGGTATGTGCGTTCAGGGAGTGTATTTAGATAGTTATCAGTGTGCTGATTTGGACTCAATTTTGACTTTGCTGTTCTGGATAAAATGAGGTGTGTCCTATTTGAGGGTCCGTCACGTTTAAAGTACACCTGATTTACTATAAGGAGCCTACGTGAGAGTCACAACTCCTAAACCTGGCTATTAAGTGACTTTCCTGAGCTTACCGTCGGCTCACCACTTTGGTCAGACTGTTCAGGGAAACTTCTTTGCTATGTCAGATATTTCCAGCATTCCAAGGAGACCAGGACGCCCAAACATACTCTGTTTAACTGTCCAGGTTGAGGTTATATTATTGATCCTGGGTCAGCACTCAGCTCTGTAAACACAAGCCCTCAGTCTAAGTAATTTTTGTTGGCCAATATAAACCTGTGATCTGTTTAAAAGCATTTGAATGCTGAGTAAGAATATGTTGGAAGTCAAGATTTTGGCTGAAGGGTCGGGGTGTGTGTGTGGTCGTGCGTGTGTGTGCGTGGATCAAAACTTACACACTGATCTGTATATGCAATTTTCAGGTGTTTATATCAAAGCCCATATTTCACTCTCAGACCGTTGTTTTACAGGAACAATAAAACCTCTCTTTAAATGTATCGCCATGGACTAAAGCTCTTTACTGAGTTGCTGCTGTTATGAAGAAGGACTTACTGTGTTGTGTTAAAATCTGCTTTATCGGGCTTTAAACATGCAGGAGTCGGACGAGGAGACAGTGCAACATTTACATATCCTGTTAACTAAATGGAGATAAGTGTCCATTTGCCGAACAAACGTCACATGAAACTCAGTGGGAAATAGTTTTAAACTCATCCTTTTTTTAGTAGTTTCTTTGTTCTGAATTTGTCATTTGGCTAAATACAACTTTTCCAGTAGCACATAACACAACTGACAATTAGCAGCTACAGGAACTACAGCAAAGTCGCCTGAAGGTCATTGTAATGGCAGCAATGCAGCAAGTGGTCTAAAATTAGACAGATATTCTTTGCCATGACTGTTTGATTTATACTTAGAGTTCCTACTTGATGCAAATTAGATTCTTCTAAAAAGCCACCAACACAGTGACGGTAATAGTTTATCTCCGCTGCAGTTCGAATGAAAGGAATGCAGGTCAGCAACACTTCATCTAGAAAGTAATGCTTTTCTTATTACTGTGTCTAGTTGTTTTTAATTAAAAAGACACTTGGGGGTTTTGCATTTGGACAACTGAAAAAGCAAATGGTATAAAGTAACAGCAGATACAGTTACATGTCTCCTTACATGTTATTATGTAAGAACTGTGTCGCTTAAAGAAAACAAATGCAGCTCCCTCGTACATATGGACTCCTGCAGTATTTCTGTTGGTATGGATTTGGAGTCTACATTAGTAGTGGGACTGGATGTCCTGGCTTGTGAAAACAGCTTTAGTCATTTTTATTGAGCACAAATCCCATGGAAAGACTAAATTTACTCAATTTGGCTCTGGGAGTTGAAGAGGTTTAAGAGGCTCTGGCCTGAGGAACGGGCCTGGAAATAAAAAAGACTGAAAGTGCTGTGAGAAACGCAGCTGTTCAAGGCGCCAAATGCAGGCTGGCAACAGTTTATAACTTAAATTAGTTTTGGCTCCAGCAGCTGATTCTAAGAATGGAGAGACTAAAGGAGAGCCAAAGAAGGAGCCAGATGACATGTTTTATGTCAGAATGATCCTTTTTGCAGGAATAGACAAGACTTTCTTGATCCTAAGTGCGAATGTAATTGAACAATGTTGCATTACACCAGAAAGTCTGATTGCAAAGTAGCTGTTTTATGCACAAATTGTGCTTTATTGTTTTTATCATCAACTGCCATCTAATGGGATCAAATTCACAACACGTTGGATCATTGTTTTAAGAATAATGGGGTCAGTTACAGCAGCAGCTATTACCATGTCCTCACTGTGAGTCTGTGTTCTGGAGGGGGGAGGGCTTTGGAGGGGAAAGGGGACTTAGGGGGTTGTTTTTTTTAAAACCATGTGCTGCCCTGCACGCCTGACAGTGATAAAGTAGAAAGGCTCCCAGAGTAGAAGTGGTGTGGCTTTGAAAGACAAAAGGAAAGTGAGGCAGACTCCGCCACACGGCTCTAATTTGACACGAAGAGAAAAGAGGAGGAAAACATAAACAAAATCTAATCCAAAACTACAAAAGTTATCATCAAGAGGACAAGCGGAGTAGATAAACATGGATCTAAAGAATGAAAACTCCTCAAATGGCTCCATGCCAGAGATCAACTTGGAGAAGTTACACAAGATGGCTGCAGAGCTGATACTGCCGGGGAAATTCATCCTCAGGTTCCTGAATGCCGCTCTGGTGTTACTTACAAACTTACTGGCCAGAGTTTTGGGAAGCAGCCTGGTCAGAGGACACTTCCACCTGATGCTGTCTGGTTTGGTTCTGTTTGGTCCTGTGCTGAGCTTCTGGGTGTCAAAATACAGCATCTTCGCCAACAGCAACCACTACCTGTACAGGTGAGAGCTCCAGAAAATCTGGAGTTCATGACTGTGTTTCTGGATTTAAATGGAAATGTCATGTTTATAACTAGCTGCTCTTGCTGGAAACTGAGAAAGTAACTGTGTGATCTTCAGTTGGATGTTCTCGCTCATTAAAAGCTGTCCTGAATGGGTGTCATTGAGCCAAAACCTCATTAAACGCACATTAAAGACCAGTTAAATTTAAAGGTACTACATGGAGTTTTTAACTGGTTATGAAACAGTCTTAATTTAATTCCGATTCCTCTGTAGGACTTACATAAACAGACAAGACCTTCAGTGAGAAGATTGGCTATTTCTATATAGTTATTTTTAATACATACAAATATGATGGCTAATGCTAGCTAACTTGAACTGACTCCTCTCCACTTGAGCCACTCTTTCACTTTGGTTTAACATTTACCATTATCCTGACAATGTCACTTGTGGCCACTGTGCAGTTGAAGTTAAAAGGCTTGGTTCCAATTATAATGGTAGTAAATTATGATTTTTTTTTTTTGCTGGATGCTCTGCTGCCATATTAATCTGGCAACCCACCAAAGCGTTTTTAATTTATGCATTGTAACAGCATTACAGCTTTCCTGACCATGTATAAATCCATCAGAAGTTATATATTAATATTGTACAGTATATTGTGTGTATTGTGGTCCCTATCCAACTTTAAAAATACAAGTAAGTTCATACAAGTTTATACATGAGCTGAATACCCATAATGCTATGCTTGGTGTTCTGCATTTATTGTGAGGTTATTTAATGCATTTCATATAACTCATACTGTGGAGCCATTAGTATCCTTTGGCAGCACAACAAACTCAAGTAGATTAAATAACTGTCTTTTTGACTGGTTTCTGCATCAATGCTCTCTTACAGGAAGTTCCTTAAGTCCACTTGGGGTTGGACCTGCGTCTTCACGGGTTCCTTCATCCTTCTCCTCTCCACCTCAGCCCGCCACTCCCCCTCTCTCTCCCTCCGCCACCTCTCTCGAATAGGGGTGGTGGCGCTGCTCTGGTGGGGCTGTCGGCATCTCCTGGCCCTGCTGGAGGATGCAGCGGGAACCTGTTATGAACCTATGACCCCGGCCCAGGATGCCCAAGGCGCTGCCTCCTCAGTACAGCCCCTGCTGCTCCTGCATGAGGACCAGACCAAGGCCTCCTGTCTCCAAGCCAACATGGTGTGGAGAGGTTACGAAGTATCCCAGGATGTCCTCATCCTCTGTTTGTGTTGCCTGCTGCTGGTGGAGGAAATGTCCGTCTTTGGCCCTCACCTGGTTCAGGCAGAGCCTCTGCAGAGGTCGCCCGGTGGCCCTTTAAGGTTCATCTTCCTCTTATGTGTACTTCTACTTGCAGTTTTGATGTTCCTGCTGCTGTGTTTGCTCGCACACTTCCCCCAGTTCCCCTCCCAGCAGCTGGGGGGAGCTCTGGGCTACCTTGGATGGAGAGGACTCTATCAGGGATGGTACAGACTCAAACCGAGCTGGGGCTGTCCTGGTCTGCCAGGAGAGGGACTTTTTACCAGCACAGAGATTGACAAACAGCAGTAGTATGAAGCCCTCAGTGGGTGTTTTGAGGGTGTGAATGTAACCTTGAAAGCTCAGAGTTTTTGATAGTCGTGGCTTATCATTAAGGTTGTGAAGAGAATGTAGGTATAGTGTTTTACCTTTGACAACATTACATAACTCTGCCTTTATGAACATGAAGGTTACTTTCACTGTACGTAAATATTAGGCTAAAAAAACACATTTTAAATTCCCATTTGGACAAAAGAAGCACAGACAGATTTATCAGAATCATGTTACTTTATTTTGTAATCTGAACCAAAATGAAAGCACAGTATGAAAAAGACGACTTTTTTGTCAGAGAAGGTGTATTGTTACTTGATAAGAGTGTCATACTACACTGGTTGTATCTTGTTAGAAAGACTGTGAGTGTGCTGGAGTCAGTCTCAGTAGATGAGAGCTTTGCCGTCTCCTCTGGGCTTCTTAATCTTGTCATAGTTCTTGTTAATGATGTCAAACAGCACGGCCTGGAGAGACGGATACAGAGAGGAGACATCAGTGGAAATGTAGTGCGAGAGAGATAGAAGAAAGATAGACAGCGTGTGAGAGAGACAAAAAAGGTTAGGGGCGGTGATAAAAGCGAGAGAGACGCCCAGATCCAGAGCTGTAATCGTGTCATACAGCTCCTTTCATCATCACCTGTACCGCCTTGTTCATTAACAGCATCAAACACACGAGGACAATAGCCAGAGGAAGGAGACAAACAGTGATTAATGGATGGAAGATGGAACACCAATCAATTTAACACAAGCACAGCAATTAGTTTAATTACCCTCCTATTAAGAAGGGATGGATTCCATTTAGCCACCGTCACTACTGCTGGGACATGGCTGGAATATTTTATAATGTGTGGGTGGTTTTATTCAAAATACAGTGCGTGATTGCAACAGATGGTGTATGAAGTTTGATACATGTGATTTACAATATTCAGATGACGTGCACTCTTTAAAGCAGTCAGATGGTTGTCAAATCAGTTGTGCGTCGACAGTTTTTACACATTTCCACACAAACACACATATGAAATAAAACATGAGGGGGTACGCGTCTTACATATGTGTTGCGGATGTCCAGGACCACAAGGCGGAGCTCACAGTACTGATACTGGTCCAGCTCATGAACCAGCTGTCGGTAATCTCCCTGCAGCAAAAAAAAAAAAGCACACAACAGAGTTTATATGCAAAATCATACAGGAGACGGCACAACCTGTACGTACCCAATTTGTGCAGAGCAGAACATTTTAAAAATAGCATAAATAGAGCATACAGTCTGCAGGTGGAGCACAATGAACATCCATATGTTTTATATTCATTTATTCTCTTTATCACTCTGAGTTCCAATTAAATCATTACTAAAATAAATTAATAAACGGAAACAGAACGGAAATATCTGTATTACAATGGCTCAAGATACACAACGTGAGATACTGACCACATGGGATTGTTTGGAGGCTTTGGCCACAGCATCACCTCTCTCGCTGTAATATCTAAAAACAAACAAACAAAGGAGAAGTTACTTGTCAACAGGATATCACTACCTGACCTGAAGTTTGCTAACATTAGCTAATATTAGCCACCATAAGCTACTGGTCACAGCCATTGACTATTTCTAAATAAGATGGATGACATGACAGCTCCCCAAAAGTGAAGCATGTCATGACTGACAGCTGGCTCCAGTAAGATGGCAGCGGCCCTATGCGGCTATTGGCTTCATTTTTGCAGCAGGAAGTGGAGACGCGATGTCCATCTTTACATATGTCAGTGGTCACATCAGCCAGTGTACTCAGTGTACTGAATTGAGCAACAGTGTGTTTTATTGCCTATGAATTGTATGAGGGGAAAGTTGTATAATTTCTTCTCTCAAAAGTTCCGTAGTTTCACTTAAAAATGAAGGAGTTCTTGCATTTCGCACTGAGCGCACTGATGCGTGAACTCATTACACAGATGTTCCTGAAGGGAGCTGTAAATAACAGTCAAGATGTCAAACTTTGAAACGTCTGGAAGTCCCTGCAGCCATTAATAAAGGTGTATTCAGTTAGTATGACTTCTATCTCTTTTCAGGACTGCATGTGGTATTAGTCCATGGGACTGGCTAACAGCTCCTGAACACTGTCGTTTTTTGTTTGGGCTAAAAAACACAGCTATGATGCTGAAAACTGCATATGGTGTTTGATCATCTGAAACTGAAAACCTAAAAGAGCTATTAAACCAACCAAACTTACTGACACCTGTGTGGGTGGATGAAGGTGGACGGGGACACAAACGACTACATCAGTGTTGATGAAAAGAGACGATGGGGCTGTATCTTCTTATCATTCAAACAAATAAAGAAAAATCCACCACAAACTAGCTGTGTCGGTGTGTGCTCTTACTTTGAAATCTGGGTTTGGAACCCCTCGATCTTGGTGCGTGTGTTGGTCAGCAGCTCGAAGACTTTCTCCTGTTGTACCACAACAAAAACATCAACCCTAACTGAATACATTTCACACGACAGATTAACAGTACATGCTTCAACAAATGGTTACCAACCTGTACGGCCACACCGAAGTTGTTACCATCTTCAATTTTAGGGATCTGGAGTTGCACCCACATCGACACCTGCCAGGAAATTTTGAATTTATTCACCTCTAGTGTAATAAATGAGTTTGTCATTGCGTTGCTATTATTACACTTCTAAGATATCCTCATTTAAAGCAGGTCTAAACACAGACCGGTTATGTAACCAGTGTCAACCAGTGTTGCATGGCATACTTAAAAGCGAGTTTTGTTTCATGATTGAGACTAATTAGGAGGCTGACCGTGTTGAGCTTCTCCTTAAGTGTCTGGATCTGAGGCTTGACCTCCTGCAGGAGACTCTCCACTCGCTCGTTGCTGCAGATGGGACCACAGGGAGGCCCTGGTGGACAAAACATCCCCAAACATCACTGCACTCAGTCACAACATTAGAAAATACTGCTTTAGTTGGGTTTCACCTGCCTGAGCTGCTTCCCAAGACGATTTCCTTTTCAATTTAGATCATTCACATACAAATGGCTTTGTTTTCTCATAAGAGAATATCTTTTTCAATATTATTGGTGAGGGAACAGGTAGAGAGGCAATAACGTCTGGCAGAGATTGGTTTGTTGCTCTAATGTTTTTAATAATTATTCCATGTTTTCAGAATAACTGTAGCTGCCAAACTCTGACAAGTTATTATTATGGTTTAGCTCGTGCACTGAGATTTGTGAAATTAATCACCATCCTGGCATACAGTATGAACATTTTTAAACACCACTCTCCATTCATATTTTCTTTGATCTACCACCATCACCTCATAACAGACTGCAATCAAACAAAACCCAGGGATTAAACAAAGTGACAGTGTTGTACAGTATTTGACCACCATGTTTCTCCCACATTCAGTCAGTATGTTGCTTTATCACTTGACATCATCATCTCCGTCTCCTCATTTACCTGAATCTTCCTCCTCTTTATCGCTGTCCTTATCCTTGTCTTTCTTCCCCTCCTTCGCCTCCTTCTGCATCATAAGAACAGAAGGCAGCAGGTCAAAGAGTTTTCTCTGCCTATTAATCTCTCAGACAGCTCACCCACGTGATTTTTTTTCCATGGCTGGCTAAATGAAGATGTCAAATGTTTGATCTTTTTTTTTTTTTTGTAAAAGAAATGTAACCTAGTTCCAGCAGCCCCTGGTTCTTGCACACGGCTTTTGAATGCACTCCAAGAGCCTCAAGATTGTTCCCAAGAGTTGCAGTATGATCTCAAATATTCTTTCAACCCGTTTTCCCCACATAAAACTAGAGACACTGGCTGGTTACACTCTTTCCTCCTCTAAATCAACGTGTGCAACACGGCAGCAACTGTGACGCTGGAGCTGTATAAATAGGAGATACAATAAAGGGTGAGACTCATATCTTATCCTTGAGTGATTATTCTGCTTTCATCTTAAAGTCAGTGATCGTTTAGTGCTGCGTGAAGCACCCGCAGGATACTTCCATCCCTTACTACTCAAATTAAACATGACCTGAATATGTTTACATGCCAAATAAACAAATCACTCGCATCTATTCAGGTTTTTATTTTTATTTTTTTGAAAGATCACTCCAATAAAAAGCCCACTCACGGCCAATTTGTAAAACAGCCCTTGGAAATTACACAGCGATCGGTTGCCATGGTAACAAAGGACTCTTGTGTCTTGATATTTTATGAAATGCTAAATATAAACCCGTGGCTGAGGCTCCCAGTTGAGAGGCTTTTTATGCAGCGCTGCTGAGGAAATTCAAAGGTTAGGAAAATAAAATGCTTAAATCCTTACTGTAAAACCAATCCCGTTTATATGATACGGCACAATACGGGGTTTCAATTCATTCAACCTCTTACAGCCTCTGAGGTGCTTTCTGAATTTGCCTCTTACCTCTGTAAAGCCACCAGTGCTTAAATGTATCTGCTCCTTTCATGGGAGCAGATACATTTAAGCACTGGTGGGTTAAACCTCCAGAGGGTGGGACCTACCTCCTCTTTCTTCTTGCGTTTGGCCTCCTCTTTAGCCGGGTCTGGTATCGGGATGTCCAGTGGAGCCTTCAAGGATGCCAGGTCATCGCAGCTGAAAGACGTCTGACAGAAAACACAACTTTATCAGGGACTGACACAAAGGCTGCCCCCCGAAGAGTCCACGAGTTGACTAAACTTTACAAACCGAGTCTCAAACTGACCATAGAGCAGGATGCACATTTTTACTTTCTCTGACTGTGAAAATCCTTGTCCTGTCCTTTATTTGATTACACTTTATCTCAAGAAACATTACTATAAAAGAGTGTTTTTGTTGTTGTCTAAGACAGGAACAGGAGGGGTGGAAGAAACCCCCAGGTGACCCCGAAGGACCCCTGCAGCACCCCCAAGTATTTCTAATACCTTCAGCAGCATCTCCAGCTCCTCGATCTTCTGAGGGAAGAACTTTGAAACCAGCTGCTCCGCCTGTCACACAAAGACAAACAGTCACAATCCTGTAACACTCAATGTGACACACTTACAGCCGCAGTTGGGGAAAGATGTGTAACCATCGCAGAAATTACCTCCTTCGTGAGGTTTTGGCAGAAGTCATCCACCTGCAATGAAGATATGAAATGAGTTTCCTTTATGTTTTGACACCTGCTGTATGGAGGATATAACAACTATTCACACGACTCAACAGGCCCTTTGGAGGCTAATGACGTGATAATTACGTGATAACCTCGTATGACCCCCTGCTGTCTGTCTACTTGTCAAAACAAACTCTTATCTGAACGCCTGCTCGCCTCTTAGCGTCACCGACACAGCAGCCATTAGTTTGGAGGTAATGGGAGTTTAAAATGTCCGTATTTAACACTTTCCCATCATGCTAGCAGACGTTCGTGCTCACCTGCTTCTTCGACTCGACGCGAATTCCCAGAGCGGCCATGTCGTCTCTGAGGGCGAGAAGGACTTTAATTGAGTTTGTAAAAGCGTGTAAAGTTCAGCGCGTCGCAGAGAAGCAGCAATAAGCTGTTCGTGTGTGCAATTCAGTGCCGGGCACGACGCAGAGATACTCACAGTTACTCAGCAGAAAAAAGCGAAAACGAAAGTAAAGCGCACATTCAGACAGTTCCGTACTTTCCCAATTTAATATCGGATCATCCTGTTGCATTGTGGGACTTGTAGTCTTCCCCCCCTCTTCTCTTGGCGTTTCATTTCCTATAACAAGAGCCAGTATTCTAGGTAGCCTCAAAGCAAAAACATACGCATAGAAAGTGAAATGAGTTATTCATTATTATTTATTTCTCCCAAACAAATCCTATATATTATTTATTTATTTATTTATTACTTTAGTGATATTAAACTATAACATATTGTTCTTTAGGTATAGTCTTATTAATTCAGGTTATTTAACACTGTGTATATCAGACTTCTTAGTAGACTTCAGATTCTTAGTACTCAGATTTATCTTAAAATAATCATCTAAGAATTCAAAAAGATGCGATTAAAGTGTCACTATTCTGTTCTTTAATTATATGAATATGGCAACAAATGTATTTTTGCTTTCTAAAGAATAGAAACTTTTAAACCTGCAAAATTATTAAACCATTTAAAAAGTCAAAACAAAGAAAAAACATGAATGCATTTTGACATCTCTTTGCTTCAGGACACAAACACCTGTTTTCCATCCATGTGTGATTAGCTGATTAGCACCAGCTGTGCAGCACCGATTAATATATAAACCCTACAGAAACACACTCTAACACAACTATATATACTGTATATATATGGGCTACTTATGATAAAGAGCCTTTTTTCACCAGTAATCACATATATTGCAGTGATTATAATAAATATTTTATAAATGAAGACGATCACATAGTCCAACTCCTCCTGTAAGTTCTGACTGTGTCCACTAGATGGTGCTGCTGTCCTAAATGGAATAAATCAAAGTTCTCTGTGTACAGATAATAAAGATCAACAGTACCACAGTAAACCTGTGAAGGTATATGTCTATACGCTTATATCAAGGATTGTATGAACAATTTAGCCTCAATGACGCAAATATTCTATGCTTTTTATGGATTTAATACAAAAATATATAAGGTATAAACAGCCTACTGAAACTTATACAGATTTTTAAAAAAAACTATCCCAGCAGCAGGAGAGCTGTCCTTTAGCTCAGTATTATTCACTATAAACCTGAAGTGTATCTGCCATTGAGACGACTGTAATGTTACAGGGATCTGCTGTCGTACATCTGCCGTCACAAGGGCTCTTTCATCAAGAGCTGTGTGGACAGAACCGGGGTCAGACCAGTCAGGTTAAAGCCTAAAACAAATACAGGATCCTGAGTGGACAGAAAGGACGTCAGAGCCTCCCATTGTAAACACAATCCTGGTCACTGTTTCATGCTATTATTATGCCAACATGCTTTGTTTTATACACACAGGTAAACCCATCATGTTTAATTACATCAGTAGATGAACACATAAATTGAATCACTTGGCTGATAACTTGTTATTAAATCATAAATCACACACGGCTTTGTGGTAGACTTATAGTTTAATTGTAAATCTGTTTAATATCTGTCTGAGAATCAGCAGTGTGTAGTATAATACAGTATCAACACAACAATAAATCACTCATCGGGCATGAGGTATTACTCGAAGTTTGAGCCGAAGGGCAAAGGGTGCACTTGTTTACGGTGTGAGCAGCATTAGTTATTGATTCTTTGATTTGATTGAGTAAGCGGTTAAAACTTGGCAGTGTGTTATTCAGGTCAGGGAGGCTGTTGAGAAACACAGCGGACAAAGGTCATGTGTCTTTTAACAAGAAGTGAGGAGAACTTAAGGGTT